TACCTCTGGTGTCAGCAGCAAACAGCAACTTGGTTTATGCGGATCTCTTTTTAGACAGCCATGGAGGGATTGTTAATAATTAATTGCATTTTTTTCTAGAACTGCAGCCAGTTATAAATTACTCTCTTTTAAGAAGGAAATACGTTGGTAGCAGACTCTTTTAAAACACTTTTTTTTTTTTCAGTTGGTTGACATTTTGGTTATGAAATGAGTGGTGACATCTGCTACTGACGATGTTTCTATATTAGTCTAACCAGATTCCGTGAGGTGATGTGCTGCTGTGATCCCCAGCCCGCTGCCACAGGGAGGTGACTCTGTCTGTGTTCTGGGTGCAGCAGGAGCTGGGAAGCACAGCCAGGAGCAGTTAGACCCCCGCGAGGGGTGGATCAAATAAAATACACTAACAAACCAGCCCTACAGGTTGAGACTATTGATAGAAAGGGAGACCAGGTCAAGTAACAAGCTGGCTCCATTTTTGAAAGATGTCTTCTCAAAAGCATAATATGAATTGCTTGCTAATTCTGCTTCTTTGGTTTCTTTTTAACCTTATTCTTCAGTATCTTCTTAAGCCCCTCTTTTTCCACACCTAATCTTCTTGGTAGTTCTGGTCCTTTTTTCATACAACTGAAAGCGTCTTGTGCTAGGCAGGTGACAGTTCATTTATTTTGTAGTGGTGTGTCTACTACAGTAAGAACCCATGCTTGTCTTTTTGCCTTTTTGGTATCTCTTGCTCCCTGTGCTTTGAGACTTTTTCTGACTGGGCTTTTTTATGGTGTTTAATTATTTTTCTGTGTGTTTCTTCTCACTTTCTGCTTTTCTTCTGTGTCTTAAAGCTTTTTAGCCACTGTTTTTTTTGGTTTTTAAACGTTTTTCAGCCCCTGGTATCTTTTTTTTTTTTTTCTTCAATATAGGACAGCTAATTCTTTTCTGCCTGTTTCTTATTTTAACTTTTGGGTTTTTTGTAGACAAAGCTTTAGTCTGAAGGCATAGCAAAGAGAAACACTTTTAGGTTGTTTTTCTTTAAAAGAATAGCCCTGAAAAATGTTCAGGGTTTTGCAAGTTCAGCAAATGCGTTTGCCTCAGTGAGCTGCTGATGTGCTGTACAAACCTGCACACATTCATTCAGGGTAACGGGAATGATAAGCACATGTACTTGACTTGTGATGAGCAACCTGTGCAAAAAAACTTGTTGATTAACTGCTGGGCTATATTTTGCAGCTGCAAATGTTTCTGTATGGGTTGTACTGACTACGGCAAAGTACGAGAGGGTTTTAGTGTATTTTATTTTTATTTTTGAGGACTCTTGTGCTTGATGACTTAACTTGTGTCCCATAGCTAACTCCAGATGGTAAAAGTAGTTTGCCTTCATGGGGTATCCTTTTCCTGCTTCAGAGCCTGTTCATGTAGGAGTTTTAAGTTGATAAAAGATGATATTTTCAAAGCTGAAGTTTGTTCTTTAAAATACCCTTTGTATAATTCAGGCTCCTTAAGGCTTTACATATTTTGGGCCT